AGTCTGTGATAGTGTGGACACTACACTCTCTCTATACCAGTCTGTGATAGTGTGTGCACCACACTCTCTGTATACCAGTCTGTGATAGTGTTGACACCACACTCTGTATATCAGTCTGTGATAGTGTGGACACCACACTCTCTGTATACCAGTCTGTGATAGTGCAGACACCACACTCTCTGTATACCAGTCTGTGATAGTGCAGACACCACACTCTCTCTGTATACCAGTCTGTGATAGTGCAGACACCACACTCTCTCTGTATACCAGTCTGTGATAGTGTGGACACCACACTCTCTTCATACCAGTATTTGATAGTGCGGACACCACACTCTCTGTATACCAGTCTGTGATAGTGTGGATGTCCCTCTCTCTGTATACCAGTCTGTGATAATGTGGATGTCCCCTCTCTGTATACCAGTCTGTGATAGTATGGATGTCCCTCTATCTGTATACCAGTCTGTGATAGTATGGAAGTCCCTCTCTGTATACCAGTCTGTGATAGTGTGGACGCCCTGTTCTCTGTATACCAGTCTGTGATAGTGTGGACACCACACTCTCTGTAAACCAGTCTTTGATAGTGTGGACACCACACTCTTTGTAAACCAGTCTGTGATAGTGTGGGCGCCCTATTCTCTGTATACCAGTATTTGATAGTGTGGACGCCCTATTCTCTGTATACCAGTCTGTGATAGTGTGGACTCCCTATTCTCTGTATACCAGACTGTGATAGTGTGGACACCATACTCTCTGTAAACCGGTCTGTGATAGTGAGGACACCAAACTCTCTGTATACCAGTCTGTGATGGTGTGGATGCCTTATTCTCTGTATAACAGTCTTTGATAGTGTGGATGCCCTATTCTCTGTATACCAGTCTTTGATAGTGTGGACGCCCTATTCTCTGTATACCAGTCTGTGATAGTGTGGATGCCCTATTGTCTGTATAACAGTCTTTGATAGTGTGGACACCATGCTCTCTGTATACCAGTCTGTGATAGTGTGGACACCACACTCTCTCTGTATACCAGTCTGTGATAGTGTGGACCCCACACTCTCTGTATACCAGTCTGTGATAGTGCAGACACCACACTCTCTCTATATCAGTCTGTGATAGTGCAGACACCACACTCCTCTCTGTAAACCGGTCTGTGATAGTGAGTACACCAAACTCTCTGTATACCAGTCTGTGATAGTGTTGACACCACACTCTCTGGGGGCCAGTCTGTGATAGTGTGGACACCACACTCTGTAAACCAGTCTGTGATAGTGTGGATGTCCCTCTCTCTGTATACCAGTCTGTGATAGTGTCGACACCACGCTCTCTCTGTATACCAGTCTGTGATAGTGTCGACACCACACTCTCTCTGTATACCAGTCTGTGATAGTGAGGACACCACACTCTCTCTGTATACCAGTCTGTGATAGTGCAGACACCACACTCTCTCTGTATACCAGACTGTGATAGTGTGGACACCACACTCTCTGTAAACCGGTCTGTGATAGTGTGGACACCAAACTCTCTGTATACCAGTCTGTGATGGTGTGGATGCCTTATTCTCTGTATAACAGTCTTTGATAGTGTGGATGCCCTATTCTCTGTATCCCAGTCTGTGATAGTGTGGATGCCCTATTCTCTGTATACCAGTCTGTGATAGTGTGGATGCCCTATTATCTGTATACCAGTCTGTGATAGTGTGGATGCCCTATTATCTGTATACCAGTCTGTGATAGGGTGGATGCCCTATTCTCTGTATACCAGTCTGTGATAGTGTGGACCCCACTCTCTCTGTATACCAGTCTGTGATAGTGCGGATACCACACTCTCTGTATACCAGTCTGTGATAGTGCGGATACCACACTCTCTGTATACCAGTCTGTGATAGTGTCGACACCACACTCTCTCTATACCAGTCTGTGATAGTGCAGACACCACAATCTCTCTGTATACCAGACTGTGATAGTGTGGACACCACCCTCTCTGTAAACCGGTCTGTGATAGTGTGGACATCAAACTCTCTGTATACCAGTCTGTGATGGTGTGGATGCCTTATTCTCTGTATAACAGTCTTTGATAGTGTGGACACCATACTCTCTGTATACCAGTCTGTGATAGTGTGGACACCACACTCTCTTCATACCAGTATTTGATAGTGCGGACACCACACTCACTCTATACCAGTCTGTGATAGTGCGGACACCACACTCTCTGTATACCAGTCTGTGATAGTGTGGACACCACACTCTCTCTAAATCAGTCTGTGATAGTGCAGACACCACACTCTCTGTATACCAGTCTGTGATAGTGCAGACACCACACTCTCTCTATACCAGTCTGTGATAATGTGGATACCCCACTCTTGGTATACCAGTCTGTGATAGTGTGGATACCCCACTCTTGGTATACCAGTCTGTGATAATGTGGATACCCCACTCTTGGTATACCAGTCTGTGATAATGTGGATACCCCACTTGTGATAGTGCAGACACCACACTCTCTCTGTATACCAATCTGTGATAGTGCAGACACCACACTCTCTCTATACCAGTCTGTGATATTGTCGACACCATACTCTTTGTATACCAGTCTGTGATAGTGCAGACACCACACTCTCTCTATATCAGTCTGTTATAGTGCGGACACCACACTCTCTATACCAGTCTGTGATAGTGCAGACACCACACTCTCTCTGTATACCAATCTATGATAGTGCAGACACCACACTCTCTCTATATCAGTCTGTGATAGTGCAGACACCACCCTCTCTCTATACCAGTCTGTGATAGTGCAGACACCACACTCTCTCTATACCAGTCCGTGATATTGTGGATACCCCACTCTTGGTATACCAGTCTGTGATAATGTGGATACCCCACTCTTGGTATACCAGTTTGTGATAATGTGGATACCACACTCTCTCTATCCCAGTCTGTGATAGTGCAGACACCCCACTCTCTCTATACCAGTCTGTGATAATGAGGATACCACACTCTGTCTATACCAGTCTGTGATAGTGCAGACACCACTCTCTCTCTGTATACCAATCTGTGATAGTGCAGACACCACACTCTCTCTGTATACCATTCTGTGATAGTGCAGACACCACACTCTCTCTATGCCAGTCTGTGATAATGTGGATACCCCACTCTTTGTGTACCAGTCTGTGATAGTGCAGACACCACACTCTCTCTATACCAGTTTGTGATAATGTGGATACCACACTCTCTCTATACCAGTCTGTGATAATGTGGATACCACACTCTGTCTATACCAGTCTGTGATAGTGCAGACACCACACTCTCTCTATACCAGTCCGTGATATTGTGGATACCCCACTCTTGGTATACCAGTCTGGGATAGTGCAGACACCACACTCTCTCTATACCAGTCCGTGATATTGTGGATACCCCACTCTTGGTATACCAGTCTGGGATAGTGCAGACACCACACTCTCTCTATACCAGTCCGTGATATTGTGGATACCCCACTCTTGGTATACCAGTCTGGGATAGTGCAGACACCACACTCTCTCTATACCAGTCCGTGATATTGTGGATACCCCACTCTTGGTATACCAGTATGTGATAATGTGGATACCCCACTCTTGGTATACCAGGCTGTGATAGTGTGGATACCCCACTCTTGGTATACCAGTCTGGGATAGTGCAGACACCACACTCTCTCTATACCAGTCCGTGATATTGTGGATACCCCACTCTTGGTATACCAGTCTGGGATAGTGCAGACACCACACTCTCTCTATACCAGTCCGTGATATTGTGGATACCCCACTCTTGGTATACCAGTCTGTTATAATGTGGATACCCCACTCTTGGTATACCAGCCTGTGATAATGTGGATACCCCACTCTTGGGATACCAGTCTGTGATAATGTGGATACCCCTCTCTTGGTATACCAGTCTGTGATAATGTGGATCCCCCACCCTCTCTATACCAGTCTGTGATAATGTGGATCCCCCACTCTCTGTATACCAGTCTGTGATAATGGGGATACCCCACTGTTGGTATACCAGTCTGTGATAATGTGGATACCACACTCTGTCTATACCAGTCTGTGATAGTGCAGACACCCCACTCTCTCTATACCAGTCTGTGATAATGTGGATCCCCCACTCTCTGTATACCAGTCTGTGATAATGGGGATACCCCACTGTTGGTATACCAGTCTGTGATAATGTGGATACACCACTCTTGGTATACCAGTCTGTGATAATGTGGATACCCCACTCTCTGTATACCAGTCTGTGATAATGTGGATACCCCACTCTTGGTATACCAGTCTGTGATAGTGTGGATACCCCCCTCTTGGTATACCAGTCTGTGATAGTGTGGAGACCCCACTCTTGGTATACCAGTCTGTGATAGGGTGGATACACCACTCTTGGTATACCAGTCTGTGATAATGTGGATACCCCACAGTCTGTGATAGTGCGGACACCACACTCTCTCTATACCAGTCTGTGATAGTGCGGACACCACACTCTCTCTATACCAGTCTGTGATAATGTGGATACCCCAATCTTGGTATACCAGTCTGTGATAGTGTGGATCCCCCACTCTTGGTATACCAGTCTGTGATAGTGGTCATACCCCACTCTTGGTATACCAGTCTCTGTGATAGTGCAGACACCACACTCTCTCTATACCAGTCTGTGATAATGTGGATACCCCAATCTTGGTATACCAGTCTGTGATAGTGTGGATACCCCACTCTTGGTATACCATTGCAATGAAAACCGATGGCTATACATGTGTTTCGTTTGGAATGGACAGGTTTATAATATATCACTGGTTAATGTGTAAAAATGTATCCTGTCTAGAACCTTTATCTTGAGGTCTGGTTTACAAAGGATCCCTGAGTTTTTACAGTAGAGTTACATTGACTGTCACAAAGTGTCAACTCACAGGGAGTCATTTACAGGGCTAAAAGGAAAAATCGTTTATACTCATGTATCTCTTTTTTGTCTTATTTTCTAATAGGCGCTCGGAGGAACAGGATTTTTCCAGAGGCTAAAGAGAGTCTTCTACGACCTTATTGTCATGGTGGTTGTAAGTATTTATCGTTTGTCATCCATATGTAAGCTTTTCACCTCCCAATAAGTTAGGTTTAGGTATCGACAATGTTTTAATGTTAGGCCTTTTGGCTTTCTCAAACTAAGATTCTTCCTCAAAATCTAAAACTGTTCTTTCCACATTGGGATAACAAACCCAAATGCAAAGTACAGTTGACTGCCAAACACTTAAAGACTGACCTTCAAACACTATGGTTGACCACCTATCAATAAGACTGACCCTCAAACACTATGGTTGAGCACCTATCAATAAGACTGACCTTCAAACACTATGGTTGCCCACCTATCAATAAGACAGACCTTCAAACACTATGGTTGACCACCTATCAATAAGACTAACCATCAAACACCAAGGTTGACCATTCAACTCAAATTTTGACCATCTTTCTGTCTCTGTCGTCCTTCGTCTCCGTATTTTTCCGTCTCTGGCGCTGTCCGTACTTGTCTCTTTGGGTCACTATGTCTTTGTCTTTGTGACTTTTTTTGTTTTTCCTCTCTAATGATATGCTCAAACTAAAATACTTACCGCACGCACATGGTAGCAGCTCAAGATTGTCTATCGCAATATCACCTTTTGTATTTGTAGCTTCACCGACAAGTATTTTCTTCTGTTGGTGATTTTGATGCTAGAAGTTGTATTTGCTGATTCTGATTCTAGGGAGTGTGGCAATCATCACGCTGGCTGTTCCTTCTGATGTTCGGCCTCCCCACTACTGTGATAAGTGTTGTCTGCTACAGCCTGTGCTGTATGGATACCGTGGATGATTTACCAGAGAGTGAAGATGAAAACTCTGAAGATGAACAGGAACTACTACCCCAAGCTCCACTAGAACCTGGTAATCAAATCTTAGTCATCTCAGACAATGGGTAATCCTAAAGTCAGAGATCCTAAACAGATCCTAAAGTCACAAAGATCCTGAAATTCTGAAATATTTCATACAGATTCTACATTCACTGAGATCTTATTGTAATACTAATGCTAGAAAGATTATTTCACGGAGATTCTAAATATATCATGCATTCACAGAGATTTTAAACATATCGTGCATTCACTGAGAGTCTAAATGTATCCTACAGTTACCAGAATCCAAAACATCTCTTACAATGCAATCACTGAGATTATAAATATATACTACAGTTACCAGAATCCAAAACATCTCTTACAATGCAATCACTGAGGTTCTAAATATATCCTTCAGTCACCAGTATCCAAAACATCTCTTACAATGCAATCACTGAGGTTCTAAATATATCCTACAGTCACCGGTATCCAAAACATCTCTTACAATGCTATCACTGAGATACTAAATATATCCTACAGTCACTGAGATACTAAATATATCCTACAGTCACCAATATCCAAAACATGGTAAAAAAACTATAATTGAACTACATCCGTTTACACTTTAAGGATGAATCTTTTTCCGGACCGAATTTTTTCGTAAAACTTTCCTTAACATTCTAGCCTGCTCCCTCACCCTGTAAATCATCAGGTTTGGCTGATGTATACTTCCACAAATTGACAGTGAAAAACAACATTGTTTTACATCCGTGGAATTCCTCAATGAAATATGCAGGGCAGTGAAATACATTATATTCAAAGTAGTTTTCTTTCAAAGATGGAGTCAATGAGTCTTGACAGCCGCTAACATTCTGCTTTCTTCGGGATCTGCATGAAGTATCTTTAGACCACAAAAATGATTTATTTGCCAACTTGAGCTGTACATTTTTTTCCAACTTGGCCTACAACCTACAACAATTGATAGAAATTGTTCTGTTCATATAACTCAGGATTCTTTTAGTGTTTACTTTAAAAGCTCTCTGAACAAAATTATGTTGAAAATATTTGTTTTTGGTAGGTTTTAGCCATATCTCTACATAAGAGTCAAATTTTTGAATTCATCTTTTGTTTTGTATGTGTAATACTGTAAGCTACATACAGGCCATATCCCAGACCATTCAATATTTGCCTGGCACGCACCATATCTGCCCAGAGGATTCTATATAACTTCTGGTTCAACAATTTTAAAAAGAACCATGCCTCACTCATTTATTCTGTGTAAAACATTCTGGTAGTGTACAACATGAATATGCATCTGTATTTGTGATGCTGTTCATTGTACTTGATTTAAAGGTAGAACATGATTATATGAAACATGAATCACTTTCCTGTGTGTTTTATTTGGTACTGCTATATAATGTTGATGTTATAGAGTAGTATAGAATAAAAAGTTTACAAAAGGTGACCACTTCCATATCCTACTCCCTATCAACCCTCAACACATATCAACCCTCGACCCATATCAACCCTCAGGCCTTTAGCCCCTTGGGCTAATTCAGATTAGATACGGAAATGGTCGTGTGATGACCTCTTAATATTTTTCCCTGATTACATGATAAACTTAATGTAGGTCCTGTCTGAATAAACCTTGTTGTGTGGAGGATATTTTCCTACAACAAGTTAAAGGTAACAAACTTTTACTGTATCGGTGTATAGAGATATAACTGGGAAGCTCTAGAGGCCCCCTGATGTGATGTTGTCACTAATAATATACTTGTCATAACACTACAACTGTTAGGGTATTACACTTGATCTGTGTAATAGAGTTCCTGCTTCTACAAGGGATTGTTATAGTGTTCTAAAGGTTTCTAATTTTGGAAAAACTTGTAGAAAAATATAAATGTTCCCTGCAGCTGTGTGCATGCAGTGTAACGCATCACTCATACTGCCATATCCACTAAATGTACGATGTTTGTCCATATAGCTTACAGGTATATTTCCAAACACTTGTGTCAGAATCAGCAGTATATTATGAAATAGTTCTGGTTGTTCCAAGCTCTTTGTGTCAGATTGAAGCTGAAAAAACAGGTTTAGGACTATCACTGCTACCTAACGTCCTTGACAAATGTTAGTAACAACCAGCCATATTACTTTGTCCTTTTGACTCTTTGATAGCAAGTTAAGAAACACCATTTGTGTCTGTTCTGACTTCCTTTGGTTATACCTATTGATTGATGTTAAGATTTGTTTGGTTGAGCTGACTTTCCTCTTTGAGTTTGTTATTTAAAGCTGAAAACAAAATCTCAGAGCTGGGTGTAAAGTGTCATCTCTCTTTAGTTATATTAAGAAGTAAACAGAAATTTAACAACTCCTGATGCCATGTTTCCATGAAGTGTATTCTTTTGCCTGGTAACTAACCTGTTTCAGCCTAGTTTTCAGGCCGTCACCAGGGCACAGGAGCTCTTGCAGTTCTGATTTTACAAGCACCACTAGTAATGTTTTGTCTCCATCTTCTGTTAGTGTGATGACAGTTGTACACAAGAACCACCAACAATTTGAGTTTTAGCATAGTTTTATGTGCTGTTTTTATACAACCGTCAAATTTGACGGCAGTATTATGGTATGGCGTTGTCCGTCCGTCCGGCGTAAACTTTGTTTGTCCGGCAATCTCCTCCTACATTTTTCCAACAATCTCTTTCAAACTTGGTATACATTATAACCATGATATGAAGTTGTGTCTCCCTTAAAAGAATTTTGATTCGACAATTTTTCCAAAAGTTATTGCCCTTTGTTCATTTCAGTATTTGATTTTTGTCCGGAAATCTCCTCCTTCATTTTTCAACGGATCTCTTTGAAACTTGGTATACTTTATAATCATGATATGAAGTTGTGTCTCCCTTAATAGAATTTTGAATCGATGATTTTTGCAAAAATTTTTGCCTTTTGTTAATTTTCAGTATTTGATTTTTTGTCTGAAGATTTTCTCCTACATTTATTATAGCATATCAGCTAACCACTCTTAGAATGATGCAGATCTTATTTCAATGTAAGAAAGTATATAACACTATATTGCATTCGAAGGGCATATTTTGTTCCGCCCCGCGGTACTCTTGTTAAGTTTTATAATATCTGACCAAAGTCCATAATCAAAGGTTGTTGTATGTACCCCATATAACTAGAGGTCACCTTTTGACAATCATGCTTGTAGAAAGAAAAAATTCACATTGACTGTCATTTAAAAGTATTACAACAGGTACTGTTGTAACATACCTGAGCTTTAAGTTGATTTACAAAGCTCACCAAAGGTATAAATCAAGATAAAGAAAGCTTCTAGTGTACTTTTAAGACATTTAGACAAACCACCTGGATGTTTTACATGCCCAACCTTAATGAATTACCTCCCTTTGGGGATTAGGACTCGGGTGAGAAATTCCCGCCCTCACCTGTAAACATATAACCTGTCACCTTTAACCAGCCATCTGAAATACGACATGTTACAATATTACATCCAGTTCCAGAATTTAGAGGCTGACAATTTTCGTCTTACAAAGCAAAAATATTTTGTTCTTTAAAGAATGGGTTTGTATTGCATCAGTGTAAGTTTTGTTGTTTAAATTACGCCTCCCCTAGGGAACAAGAGAGACATGGTATTAGTACTGATTCTTCTGCTCTGGGTCTTCTTTAATTTGATAATATCTTGTCTGGGCAATATCTTTTAAACTGTTAAAGATATCTTGATGGAACTTAGATGTATACCTTCATCACCAACAAAAGGTGTAATTAGGTCATGATGACTTCACCTCCAGGTCAAAGGTCAAATAAAGTGTCATTTAAAAAAGAAGAGCTTAATCTTGTCTGGACTGTAAAATTTAAATTGCTGAAAATATGTTGATTACCTGCGTCACCCACAGAGGGTGTGCTGTAAGTGTACTTCACTTAGGTCATCATGACACCTCTAGGTCAAAGGTCAGTTAGGTCCAAAACACAAACATATGGCTAATAAGGGGGGATAAACATGTATTTTTCTTCACAAATATAAGTCATTTTACAGTATCCTAGGAGTGAATTGTTATCTTTGGCAATAACTGCACTTCAGTAGAGCAGAGAAACTTTCTTTAGCTGTGTAAGTGTTAAATTGGTCAGTTTCCTCAATGTTACCAGTCAGACTGAGAAGTGCCCCCTCACAGAAGAGACAGATGAGTGTGTCTGTTGTAGACTCTCCTGTGTGTAAGTTAATTGTGTGGTCATTAAGCTGACTGTGATGCATTATAATCTCTCGCTCAACATATACTTGCCAAATCCTCCTATTTTGATGGGAGTCTCCTGGTTTTCTCCCTCATTTTTCACCTATGAAAATCACCTGATTTTTGTTTATACGTCTTATTGCCTAAATTTAATTAATTGTATAGAACAGTTTAAATTACTGAATTTTACTTAATTGTTTTGTCAAATAGAGGTTATTGTAAGATTTTTTTAGGATAGTTTTTCATGGGATTTAAGTTTGAAATGTTCCATGCATTAACCTGAAAATAATTTCCATATAATTGACATAAAAAATGAGTTTGAATGATATATTTGTGTATACTAAAAAAGAAACCTGTAGAAACTTATTCATATCCTGCACTTTTTAAAAAGATCAACAAACCAATTCAAGCTTGCTGTATGTAAACTCATGAAAAGAAGTTTTGATGGTCTACATAATTTTTAACATTAAATTATAAAAACAACCTGCTAGCTAGGCTCTGTATAAACACATAACAATAACTGAAAAATATTAGATATTATTGCAGCATTAGGGTTGTAGAGGATGAAGGTAAAATGTCATGAGCAAGAAAGGGCAATTTTTACTTCTTTTTACAACTAAGCGATAGCAGATAGTTTGCTGTTCTAGATATAGAAGATATAGATATATATTTAAATAATTTCATATGTTTATTGAAGTACATGGTTTCTTCTCCAGATGATACTGAACAACCAATGGCAGTGCCAGGACACGAGAAGTCAGAGTGATGCATGATGGGATACGATTATTTAACAAAGATGGGATATACCTCACCTCCGTAACTGACATCACCATGGAAACATGATGGCATAACAATTGACATTTCTTTGTCATCAAAATAGCTATCACTAAGGACACCTTTAGTGACTAGAGTAGTGACATCATCATCTAATTATCATCACAATGACATTATTGGTTACACTATACCGATATCACTGGCTGGTGACAAATCACAATTGATAAAAAAAGGTAAAAATACAGTTGAACTAGTGACATCATAATGACCTCATAAAGTGACATAATTATGACCTTACTAGTGACATCATCATGACCTCATAAAATGACATCATTGTGACCTTACTAGTGACATCAACATGACCTCAATTTGATATCACAGGTGACATCACAAAAACCTGGTTAGAGACATCATAATCATTATGACATCACAAACACCCCACAAGTGACATCACAAAGCTGTCAGGGGGAAAATTGCAGATAGTGTCGTTTCAGTGGTTGGAACTCACAAAGCATAGTTTATTCATTAGTGACTTTGTTTACTTCTTATTTACTTGTTTTGATTTTTGGTGCTTGAAAGATATAAATAAGACAGAAAAAAACTTTGGGATCTTTCTTGTTGTTTGTGGGTGTAATATGTTGTTTTTGATTGGATGTTAGTAATGTTGTTTTTGATTGGATGTTGGTAATGTTGTTTTTGATTGGATGTTGATTATTTTAATTATGTTTGAATGATATTTCGGATGTGTATTGAGGTATAATTAGTTAGAGTGTGTGAACACTTATTGGAAGCCGTGATTTGTATGATCAAGACACTAAACCATAGTCCACACACCTCTCCAAATATAAGATATACATGTACTGTTAAACTTAGGTGTTGGCTCGAGGGATGAAGTGAGTTTCTGGTTCAACGAGACCTGTGTTCATGAAACTGTTCCCATGCTCAAACTCAAGGTTTTGTACTCACTGATTTTGTTCTCTTGCTCAAGTCGTATTCATGAAAATGTCTGTGCTTAGGAGCTGTACTCTTATCCAAACTCCACTTACATGTATGGCAGCTGGCAGAATCATCAACAGAGAGATAAGAAAATATGTACTTTCAAGGCCTAGAGTGTTTTGGAACACCAAAATCCACCAATGGCAGAGGAAGATGTTTTCTGATGTTTTCAAGTCTGGCCAGCCACAAGTGAAAACGTTTTTCACTGCTATCTCTAGATCTCTTGCAGGTCATGATGACTTAAAGATACTTTGAAACAGGTGTCTTGCTACAGTTAGTTGGTGACTCTAGATCTATTTCACAACCTATTGTAAGCAGATCTAGAGTGATTCAACAAATAATAGGGGCCCTTGCTCAACTTTCAAATTTCAAACAGGTGAAGAAGCCAGGACAAACAACTATGCAAGAAGTTGGCCTTATTATGTCCTCTGCCATGATGACAAAGTGTGAATAAGATCATGTGATGGGCACCATGTTAGCCTCCAAACATTAGAGAGTTCACTAGGTTACCAAACTCAGCAGAGAACATTCTCAGGTAATTTGATGAATATAAATGTTGAGTACTTTCTCACTGGAGCACAAACTTGAGCAAGAGCACAAAAAATGAGTTTGAGCATGAGAATGGCTTCAGGAGTACAAGGCTAGGGTCTACTTCCGTGGACAAAGCTGAAACATGATTCTTAAAGTATTCAGTAGGTATAGTTCCACAACAAATTTACGTACAAAGCTAATTTTATTTCATCACTGAAACAGCTGAACCAATGTTTTGGTCATTCATTTTATTTTGGAAGACATAATTTGAGTTTTCAAAATTATGCATGAACATCTTGGCTTAGCTGGCTAGTACTCTACATCTTTTACAAACATAGTGTGTTTGTTGTACATTGCTAGTGTAACAGGAAAGGAAAAATGCAAAGACCAAACCGGGATTCCAACCGGGAACCCCCAAACTCTAGACAGATGCTCTAACCAATTGAGCGACCTGGTTGCTGACAATCCACCCTGCAGTCCAGTTCCGCTACACCTTATACCTCTAGATCTGTAGTGCAGTTTGTCTGGTATTGAAAATGTATATGATGTTTTAAAGTAACATATTAAACATTTATGTACAATATAAGGTAAAAGATTTTTTGGGGATTCAAATAATGATTGATTCAGGGAGATTTAAAACAGCACTGCATGGCTATTGAATAACATTATATCAGTAGATGAAATCTTTTTAGGAATGTTGTGATGGGTTTATTATTGGGTTTTGGTGACTTGTAAACATGCTTACCTACTCTTAGTGGAAATGAGGTCATTTCTAATTTAGACAGGTACAAAAGATGAATATATGTACCTCAATACCACTATAACTCCACAAATTAGCCATCCCTTTTTGTTCTTCAGTGAAGAGTGAAGCCATTTCATCATCCAATTAGGATATGTCTGTTTTATAGAGAGGCACAGCAAGCAAATGTAACAAAAACACACAGACTTACAAATCAGTAGGGTGGGGACTTTCTCAAAGGGAGTTGATGCTATTTTAAAAGTTAGTAAAACAGTTTATATGNCCCCCCCAGTTGTTTGATAGCTATTCAGTGATAGGAAACTCAATTGTCTCTTGTAACAAACCCAAGTAAAACTCTATCTCACATTTTAATCAGTTTTCAGCAGATTTTAGCACTTCATTCCTGCAACAGCTAGAGAAAGACCTTCAGGCATTGGATCAGTACTACTAGTGTGTCTGTCTATCAGTATATAGATCTGTCAGTAACCTCATGTAGGTATGGCTTTGTCTGTCTATCAGTATATAGATCTGTCAATAACCTCATGTAGGTATAGCTTTGTCTGTCTATCAGT